ACCGCACTGTCCTGATCTGATGCCCCTTCATTTTTTCTAAGAGGCTATCTAAAAAATTACATTTATAAAAAAATACAACAGTGTTCAAGAATTGAAAGACACTGCAGCAAATTTCAATAGAATCCATCTGAGTAGAATTTCAACCGCTACTTGCTCTTCGCGGAAGAGAGCGATTCGATGCATCCGCCAAAGCGGCAATCAATTCGAGCACTTGCTATACCATAGACGTTTTATGTTAGTTTGCTTTTTGTAAGTGTTTTTATTTGTAAATATTTAATAAGTTGTCAATTTGTTAGTATCCTTAAGTACCTAGAATAACTGATTACTAAATAGGTCCCTACAAAATGTATGGTAAAAAGTTTTTTGCAATTTCTGACATTTACATTACCTCAGTTGGTCCCATAGAGACTATCGATCCTTACCAGATACCAGATCTAATGGCATAAAAAAAGGTTTGTAAAAATTGCCTTTTATCTTGCTGACTGTACCATTTTTTCAAAATCTGTGAATGCCAATCAAAATATCTTCAAAATTCATAGATAGTCTTCTAGAACTGTTTTCCTGTAACTACAACGATTAAGGTAGCTGGCCTTGTTGCCCCATCTCAAATTTACACACTGTATGTATATAGCCTTATTGAATTCTCTATCGCTTATTGGTAATATTGCTAAATAGTATGGATACATACAAACTAACAACACTTAAAACAATATTTATCTACTGCATGAGCACACAATGGACAAAACACAAATAACAAACAGATAAAACCATACATATATTTGGGACAAGGTGTTCAATACTATAATTATGTAGAAGTAATTATCAAATAATTTTCTCACCCAATTGCATGTATTTTTCTAATAGAACCCGCCTCTCCTCCAGCTGTGAATTTGTTAAAAACAACTTCTTAGGAGGAAAGCTCGGCAACTTAAAATACGGATTCTGAGCCTGTAGCTGTTCATGTAAACTCAGCAGCTGCTTATATCGTGCCGTGCAATGGAAAAATCCATTTATGTAGATATTATACGCCTAAAACATATACATAAAACTCGTTATAACACGATGCAAATTGAGCGTATTACTTGACCCTGTAAGGTCGTGCTCTGTCGAAATACAAGGTCCTTAAACATGAAGAAAAACAACGTTATCTCGTGAATATTACGCGGAGATAAATACCGTATAAGAGATCCCATTGTCATCGTGAAATTGCTGAAGATCCGGTATGGAGAAATGCATTTTTACACTTTCATGTAACGTTTAACATTCCCTCGTCAATAACTAATTCTAATGTTGTATTTTTTAACTTTACACAGTGATTTTTAGCTACATATGCTGAGATTCACCCACTTTGTTTCAAAACACTTTCTCAATAAAGCTATAGATTAAAAATGGCATTCAACAAATGTCAATCGCAATTTAGACATGTGTAAGTAATATGAGTAATATTAATATTACAAACGTGATATCACGCTACAGCGTAATGTGATATCATGCATCCTTTTGGAAAATTATGCATAACTAATAATATCACCCACTGTAATTTCTGGATAGGAATAAAAGAATAAAACAGCTGAGATTGTGATTTCATGTGTCGTGTTAGATCGTGTATTTTATATTTATTTTTTTCATATTAAATGTTCTCCGTTTAGAAATATCTTTTGAAGTGTTATAACGTGAATTATAAAATAAACTTATATAGCTAAAAGCCACATTAAGAAAACGAGATTTAAAATGATTTGAATTTGAAAATGATGAAAAAACACTTTTAATGGTTCCATCGTTTTCATTCAGTAACTTCAACTTTGGACAGGTATCAATGGGTGTCAAATATCAAATGTGAAAATTAAAGGTAAAATATTGGAAAAAAATACAACGGAAAAGTTCTTCTTTTTCTGGAAAATATGATTTGTTCAAAATGAAAATTTTTCCATGACCCAACACTAGTCGAAAAACGTCGCTAGCAACACTGTTTGGCATTGACAGCTGAATAATTATTTTTTTTTTAATTTATTGCTGGCCATGGAAACAAAGACCTTCAGCCGAAAACATAAACGTTTAATTATATTTCTGTAAATATGGCCACCACAAAGAGGATAGGCAATTTGAGGCGGGGCGTGCTTGGATTGACTCGGGATTCCTTAGAACGGGCCGATACGGGTATTTTAGTTCGAGATTCGTATAATTTCGCGTTTTAATCTTCGATTAAGGCACAATAGCACTATCCTATTCCACTTTAAACTAGATTTCACAAAATAATTGAAAGTCAAAATAAAAACGACACTTTTCCCTCCAAAAGGCCCAGAGCGAATCCACAGCTGAATAATGTATTAGTGTGTTGCACTGTTGCCAGATAATGTCTGGGGAATTACAAATTTTATTGGGGATTTTGTGGGGAATGGACTCCATCCTCTAAAGTTGGGTCATGGAAAAAAACTTAAGAGAAATAAACATTATTTCTGTATTTTTCTACATTTTACAGTTGACACTAATCGTAAAATTTCACCAAAAATATGACTACTTATATATAAACTTATGCATTATACCGCATTAAGTAAAAGCCGCAATGTATAATTAATCACGCGCCATACATTCGTTTGAATATTCGTTTTCTCGAAATTCATTCAAAATTAAAATAATTATTTTAAATTTTTATTGAATTGATATTCCATTATATTTTGTGAAATTATTCCACTAGTTTGTTATAATTATTAATACAAAGATCGAACACTCAGAAAAAATTCGATTCGATTCGAACTGACATCTTTTAGGCCAGGTTCGTTCCGTGGCTTAGTTGGATAACGTCTGGCACAGTAAGCTAGAAGACGTCGGTTCGAATCCGGCCGGATCGAAGGAATTTTTTCTGAGTGTTCGATCTTTGCATTAATAATTATTACAAACTAGTGAAAATAATTAATTTTAAAATAAATTATGCATATTCTGATTACAGAATTACCTGTGGAAGGAAACGTGTCTCTTTATTTATCTTCTCACAGCATTAAGCATTTTTCGCATTTTCGACAAATGTTTTACGACAACAACGGTCGGGCGCGTTCTGAAGCGTAGCAGAGCGCTTCAGTTGCCGTTTATAGCTTACATTGACCACGCGAAGTAGGGACACTTGCGGCGTACATTTAGATATATGTCTGTGGTTATAATCATGCCTTAAGCAGATTTGTGCCTAAATTTAATAATTATATGTTTAAGACTTTCCACTCAACAAATCATTACAACAGTCACAAGAAGTATTTAGCGAAAATGCCGCAACCCTGAACGGTATGACCAAAGCGAGTGTATGGCAGCTCGCTCGGTTGTTCAATGTATGTCTGTGTCGCTCGAGCCCCTCGCTATGCGTTAGCATCTAATAATCTGTGCTCTCGCTCGACTCGCACAACCCGCACAATTGCTGTTATAGACAACGGACATCCGTTGACCGACTGTAGGGCCAGTATGCTGGGAAAATGTAAGTCTTATTAATTGTTATTAGTATTAAAGATGCACTTTTATTTTCAGGTTATAAAACATATGATTATACGCGGAAGATAAAATAAAATAAACAATTTTAAAAAAGGATTACAAGTGTTTGAAGGAATTTTTTTGCTCATGTTAGTAATTTAGAGTTGACTATTATTACACCCACCAATTACCCACCATATAATTTTACCCATTTGAACCCAAAACAGTGATAGGAGTGTTATGTGATTAGGAATTGTAATGAAATGGCAGCTATAGCACAGGTTTCGATCTAGTTTAGATTCCAGCTTCCTCACAAACTATAATTAACTATACAACTAGTACTTCTTAATATATGTAACAAGAATTTTGTAGTTTGTGATGGTACAAATAAACTATTTTTCATTTTTCAATTGTAATGAAATGACATGCTGTCAAACGCCATCAGCTAGGGTAACAAAAAATACAATTTTATTTTCACATAAAACATTACACGCTTTTTTCTTTACTCATTAATGTAAAAATTACCAATCAATGTTTGAAGAAACTTGATTAAAAAGTGTTTGAAGGTAAGTTTAGTATCTGCTGCTTTTTCCTCAATCTGCTGTTTATTGAAGGTTTTTTGTTTGCAATATCTTCAGACTTTTTTAGATTTGACATGGCAATACTGATATTGACATTGACTGATAGTGTTTTTTGTAAAATCATCGCGGAATTTCTAGGTTTATTTTACAATTTTATCAAGATAATAAGAGAAACATAGATTTGTCTACTTTAAAAATGTCGAATAAACTCCCGGTGGTTACGATCCAGTGCGACTGGAACGATGTAATTAGGTACTACATATTTTATCTTAACACTTTAGATTTTGAAAGTGCCGGCCAATTTCATTCATACTTTTATCTTTTATCATTCTTTAAATGCTTAACCGTCCCAAATAATACGATTGTAAAACTTTCCTCAGGATGCCCAAAGGAGAAGCTTGGATATCCGCTAAATATTTAAATGAGAATAGTATTCACGATAAACTTACTACTTCGATTAACGCATCGGACGGCAAAATTAAGATAAACTTCTCGAGCAACTATCAATACGTATCCCATTCAAACCTGAGCCTCGTAGTGAAGCACGTAGGCTCTAATTTGAAGGTGGCATTTGTGGCCCCTACTAAAGTTTATAAAGTGCATACTAAGGCTGTTCTCTCTGTAGACACAGCTGAGAATGCACTGGCTGTGTCTTCTTGTGAACAGGACAAGTTGCTTGTTTGGGACAGCAGAACGGGTAAGTTAAACTTACTGACCTTTTAAAATAACATTACATATTACCATGAGTCTTGATGTATTTGAAAATGGGTTAGTTATGTATATTGTTGTCTGTAGATAAATGAGTAAACAGTTTTTATGTCAGAAATTCGTTCATCATGTGTAACTGCAAGTATATTACACACTTAAGTATGTTGATTGGCTTATGTACTTTTTAATAATGATTAATAAAAATGTACAAAACCTTGAAAAATTATGGGTTAAGTACTATTTGTTTTCTTAGAATAAACTACGTCTTTTCTACTTGCAGGTGAAGTTGTTCTAGATCTAAAAGGCCATGGAGGTCCAGTATATAAGTGCCGATTCTTTCCATCAGGCATTGTGGTACTTTCAGCTGGAGCAGATGGCTCTTGTCGCATTTGGTCGGCTGAGACAGGCATCAACCCAGTTACGTTAAAAGGACATAAAATGTCTGTTGCAGATGTTACTATTATTGACAGAGGGAGGAATATTGTTTCTGTTAGCAAGTAAGGATCACACTTTATTTGTATTCTTTTATTTTCCTTCAGTAATTATTTCTGGCTATATAAAGTTTACACATTATTGAAATACACAATACTCTTGTTTCTTCTATTTCATTGTTTCTAATTTGCTCCAAGTTTTAAGGAAAACATTATGTATAATAAAAAGATACTGGCGTGGTAGGTTGTAGAGTCGGTGAGTTGTTTTTAATTTTCAATAATTTAACTCTTCCTATGTGGTGTTCGCGGCTCCCAGATGGACATATTTCCGGTTCTATTGGACAGCCAATTAACTTCCACAAGTTAAGAGTTAATACAGAAGTAAATAATCATAAATAGGAAATATGAGAGAAAAGTTACTAATAAATTACAATGTTATAAATATTCTTAGCTTATTTAAAATTCTACAAACAGTTTTCAAACATCTACCTTGTCAGATATTTATGAAGATTTTTGTTTATTTTACAGGGATGGTTCAGCCAAATTATGGGACGTAGGTGAATCAAATTGTCTTGATAATATACTGGAAGGGTATGGACCAATCAACTGTTGCACATTGACTACAACCAATGATGAAGTCACAGTTGAAAACGAAAGAGAAGTGGGTGAAATTACTTAGCCTAGTTAAAATTTGGTGACAAAATTTGCTAAATATACTGGAAATTTCTTTGAAAAAATTTGATATTTTTGTCCTAAAAGGAACACATCTAGCAAATAGAAGATAGAAGATTAACTATTCCTCTGAAGTATTTGCTCCAGGTGCCCCACAATGAGTACTATGATGGGTTAACACAGTGCAAGACAACAGTAAACAAAATGTAGTAAATTATTTTTTTCAGGTTGGCACGGGCAATAAACTACTAGTGGTAGGCTGTGAAAATGGCTTGGTGATTTGTGCTCATATTGGTAAAAGAGAAGAGATCTTTAACAAACAACTGGAGACACCTTGTAATGCTTGCATTTTTGTGAATAATGCTGTTATTGTAGGTTGCAGTGACGGACAGGTAATTAAATTACATACAATTCTTAAACAGTTAGAGTGGTTACACATTGCAACTTTTGGCAGCACAACAAACACTCGTTTATGAAACGCGCGATTGCATCATGACACTAGCGATTTACAGGCGACTGCATCAATGCAAACGCGTAACTGGAACGATGCAAATGCGCGACTGCGTTGATGCTATAGCATAATATGTTGAATCATTAAAAACGTACATTGCGCTGATATCGCTGTTGTAAGCCGCACGTGTGTGTAAAGGTAGAAAATTAGCGCTCCAGTAGACCATGACCTCAGTTCCATGTGGGACTATACTTCATTTCAATCCATTTTGAACAAAAAGTAAACAAACAAGTCACTGACTCGAACATAGACGGTTTAGTGATGGCCAATTGTAATGCCAACTACAAATCGATTAATTAATTGAGTGAATCGATTTGTTCAATTGAGTCATACTAGCGGTTTTCCTTACATAACCTATACAAGCAAATTTCAATTTAAATCCTTCAAATCCTTACATTTAGGTATTCGTTCAGTTGCGATTGAAATGTTCGATTTAATTATCGATTACTAAACTCTAATTGATTGAACCGAATGTTTTTTTTCGGACAGCACTATGCAACCATAGGCAAGTCATAGAACACTTCATTTTCGGACTTCCATTTTTCAAATACGATTTTACGATGCTATGCAAATGAATATTGTTGGAAAAAGTGATGATATATCAAGTCGAAATCTTCGAAATATACATAAAAGTGTTACTTATTCGATGTATTGAGTGATTGCTATAGAATTTTAACCGAACAGGTTTGTTTACTTTTTGATCATAATGGATTGGAACAGACTATACTACAACGTTCCATACATTGAAGTAATGGAGATAAATTTAATGCGTCATCTTTGTTCCCATAGTTCCATACATTGAGTAACATGGTCCCCCTTAATAGAGGTATCTGTTTTTTTCACATGTTGGTGTTAACTTGACTAAATAATTTTTTGCTGTGTGAATGTTTTTTTGTATGACTTCATGCAAATAGGTGCCACATTTTGATTTCAGATATATAATTTTTGTCTTGCAGATCATACAATTGAACCTTCAAAATGGTTCCCTGATAAAAAAATGGACTGAGTCTGCTAGTCCAGTACTCAGTATGAAAGAGCTACCAAATCAGATGTTTGCTGTAGGCAGACAGGATGGTACCTGTACTATTTTCTCACTACTTGAAGCCCACAGTAGAATTAGAGTTCAGCTTACAGGTCCTGACTGCGACGGCATTAGAGACATAGCCTTTAATGGTAAATGGATACTTACAGGATCCAGAGATTCAAATGTGCGGAAATATGACTTCAATCAAGTTATTGTTCACTATAAGGGATCATAATAATGATTAAAATTCTTTGTGATTTAACAATTAAGGTATACTTGGTATGGATTAGTCCCATAAAATATACACATGTATTTTAAGGAAAATTTTAATTAAACCTTTGTTTTTTAGACAAAAACACAAAAATCACACAAAAATTGCAAATAACCAAAATTGTTAACGTTTCTTTGCATAATATTTGCATTTACACTTCATACAGTATTCAATTGTGGTCATCTGAAAGATTTAAATTTCATTAAAGAAAGTCCAGGGGCCCTTTCCAGTCACGTGACCTTTGCTCTAAGTTCTCGCATAACTACGGGATATAACAAATAGCTCCGCCCATTTTTAGCTGATGATCGTACTAGTAAATCTAGACTTACAAGTGAGTGCGAAACCATGATGTGAATAGTTCATACGTATTAGAACTTAAACATGCTTAAAGACTGGGAAACAAACCCCAATAAAAGCTCTAAAAACTTAATGTCAACAAGAAGGCTTAAAAGAAATAAAAAAAATACCAAGCTGTCCATCCACATTGTAAGTCCATCAATGTCTAAACACACGTCGATTATTGCGTCCTTTCTGGACCTTTCATATTTAGGCACGCCCTTAAAATATTTTATTATTTATATACTAGTATACATACCAACAACTATTTTAATTTTATCTATTACATTTTGTTTCGTAAACGAAAAGAAAATTCTTATGCGGATGCTTGATATAAAAACGCAATGAAATCCAGCATTGCTCACAAAAAATATGTACCTTTGGTTTTGCTTTCTTTGTGTAGGTTTGTAAAGCTGTTTTAGTTTGTACTCTGAGTTTATTCCATAAGACAGCGTCATTATTTACGTCTGATTGCAAGTCAACCCACTCCTTAAATATTTCGAGTATTTTTACTTCATCACATCGGAGCACTGCTGGCAGTATTGTATTTAAAAAATGTACTTAAAATTGGCATTAAAAATAGTAACGATAAAAAGTTGAATACTAGAATTATAACGAGTTTACCTGATTTTTGTTGTAGTGTCAACACTTTGTTACATACATCGTCAATCCATTTATACCAGTGACAAAGGTTGTCCACAGTACGTTCCAGGTCACTACACCATCTTTGGGCTTCACACTGTTCTACTTTAGCAGGATCTGAAAATTGTACAAACTTAGTATTGGACTACAATAATTATGTGGGTGAATATTCTAAAAGTCAAAAAAATAATTGACTTACGCGTAGAGGACATCGATAGGGAATCATCACTTCGGTGGAAGACATTCCTACTTGTTGCAGGTACTTCTGTTCAATACGTACAGCATGCATTTATTACAGCGAGTTATTACTCACTTATTACTTAAAAAAAAGCGTCGAAACTTACGGTAAATTATGTTTTGCTTGGAAGCCGCTGCCGGATAATTATTCTTATTTGGAAGTAGCGTGGATTCATTTACGTTAATCTTACTGTCACCTGTTCCGTCATCTATGCCGGTAAAATCTTTTTCGAGGTTATTCGATGAATACGTATTGAAAGCACTGTCTGCTCTTTCTTGGACGCTTGGAATTTCATTTTGTATTTTTGTATCGGTTTCATTAAAAACTGGTGACGGTTTCTTTTTTATTTCTACTTTAAGTAGTGGTATGTCGTATTTTGTGTCGACAGATTCATCTTCGCTATACTTGTTATTTGTTACTTTAGAGTCCGATACAATGTCTGTCATACTGGAATTTGTATTTGTCCATATTATCTGGTTTTCCCTTTCGGTTTCCATTATGGTTTCCGACGGTTTTGTTTCTATGTCATAGTCTGTTTGTTCCATATATTCTGGTTCTGTGACGTGCATTGAGATACGCGAAGTTTCTTTGTTGGTTTCATCGTCATGTTCTGCGTTTTCGATAAACCTTTCGTCGTTTTCCTGTATGTGTCCCAGAGATGTGACAGATTTACTTACGCTTTCACTAAATTTATAGCCAATACCGTGAGCATGTTTGTCTGGCCATGATTCATCAGCGTCACCTGATTACAAGAATTTATATTTATTAAGAGAATTAACAGCGTAATAATGAACCTACTTGCAATTGGCAAATGTATCTCATACTTAACAATCCGTGGTTAGGAGGAGAAAATATGATATCAGCCGGTATATTCCAAGAGTCACTGGTTTTGTCTTCTATGTTTGCAGTTCTGTAACAATAATTTAGAACGTCGAGGTTTCATAACTATAATTATATAGGTACCTTACAAAGCTATAATAATACTAATAACGCACGCACTGATAGCCCCGCACTAGGGAAACCCTGTATCGCGGGTGCTATGGACACACACACACACACAGCCAACCACAAATTACAAACTCACGAGAGAAATAGATGTAGGCCATACAAATATTTCTCCCGGCCCGGGAATCGGACCCGATACCTTTGCGTGGCAGTCCAGCATGGTAACCGTTCGGCCACTGAGGCAGCTGTGTCCGCGTTTTATATAAAGGCAATATATATTGTAAATGTTATTTACAAAGAGCAACCCCTAGAGTTTCTTGCTCATTCTTCTCAGGGGAATCTGCCTTACGAATGAGCGGTAGAGTTTAATATTGTGACGATTTCAAGTGTAATAATGCTTACCTATGAAATAAAGATTATTTTGAATTTGAATTTGGCAACTGTTGGTTGGTTGTAATTTTCAATGTAATTTTTAAAAGATCTAACGATTAACATTTTTGTACCATACTCATATTTTCACCTATTTCCAAACGTTTAAAATTTACACGCTATTAATTCAAATTTATCTTAAAATAAATGTTAAAATATCACAGAAATCACATCTGAATTGGTTTAGCCAATGTGGAGATTAGCGTGCACAAACGCACAGACAACATTTTTATAAAAACTTATATTTTAGGTCTACACGTCCACGACATATCTCCCGTGTAGGTGGCACAGACTTTTACTTTAAAATGTTAGAGACTCAGCTTTTGTACGATTTTATTACAAGTACCTATTCGAAATTTTAGGAAAATTTATTTATAATTACCTCACTGAGCTTTCTTCTAGTTCTCCATATTCTGAAAAGTAAGCAAAAAAATATTACTTATTAAATATTATTAAAAGTCATACCGTGGTAAGAAACCTGATACTAGTGATAATCATTTAGTGAATAACCACGAAAGTCTTAAAATCTATATTACAAAAAAATATTGTAACTTCGTTTTCACACATTTTAATTAATGCCTTTTCAATGAGTCAACACGATCGATGAGTTTTTAGTGAATACTAATCAAACCCTAATACTTACTAAATTAACGAAATAAAAAAGAAAAATAAATTACCCGAATCTAAACTTGTGAATTTAACTTTTCTGTCATCTTTGTACGTTTCCATGCCTTCGTATTCATTTACGTCCGTTATACTCATTTGTGGTGAGTGCTCATCGTCGAGGTTATATACACCTGAAGGCTCTTCAATGTTAGTATTAATTCCCACCTGTTCAACATCCAAGTTTTCTTCCATATCGTTAACTGTCACAGGAGTTCTTTGTTTGTCAGTTTGTCCATTGTCCTCCAACTTATTTACATTATCGGTTAGGAACGTATCGTTAACTTTTTGTTTTTCAATTTGTTCATTGTCCTTTATTTTATTTTCATTTTCGGGTGGAGACCCATCGTTACTTCTCACAGAATTCCTTTGTTCTTCAGTTTGTTTGCCGTCCTCCAATTCAATTGCATTTTCGGGTTGGAACACATCGTTAACTTGCGGAGGATTGATTTGTTTTTCAGTTTGTTGATTGTCCTCTAAATTATATGCGTTTTCGGGTTGGAACCTGCCGTTAACTTCTAGGGGATTTATTTGGATTTCAGTTTGTTCATTGTCCTCCAATTTATACGCGTTTTCTATTTGGAACATATCGTTAACTTTTAGAGGATCTATTTGTTCTTCAGTTTGTTTATTGTCATCCAATTTATTTGTGTTCTCTTTTTGGAACATGTCCGTAAGTTCTTCGCCTATATCTTTTGAATCGACATCAATTTTATCGTAAGTGTTTGTTATGTTTGCTTGTGTATCATTCGAGTCATAGTAGATTTCATCCGTATTGATGTCATGAACCCCAAATGATCCAATATCTTGATCCATTGCGCCACCAGATGTGCGCACACCTGTTACTTTGTCATCAGTTTCATCCCCAATTTCTGATGCAGCTCCATATTCTGCTACATCTCCAAATTGTGTTCCATCTTCTAATTCTGTTCCATCTTCTAATTCTGTTCCATCTTCAAATTCATGTTCGGTGTTTGCAGAGGAAACGTACGAGGATTCCACCTGACAATTAATTTATGATTTAATTTTGTAGATTAACTTTTCAAGATAAGCATATTTTTAGTTTGCAAGATAAATATTCTTTTACCACGACATTTTCCAACAATTCATCAATGAAATCTAACACTGGACCTTCTTCCTCTTCTAGATCTGAAAATAATATATATCATTGGATTTAATTAGATAATCAGATATGATTCCAGCATAGAAGTAATTAGAATATCAAGGAGAAAAAAAAATATAATAAAAAATAAACCTCTTTCTTTGTAATCACAATAAAGGTATTTTTCTATAAGTGTTGCTATATGTCCCTCTTTCCCCATTCTTCGCTCGTAGTGAATTTTAGCTAAAAATAAAAAGGAAAAAATAGTAGGTATTCGTATTACTTAGAACGGCGTTTTGCATTTTGCTAATCCTAATTTTATTAAATTGTTACCTCTTAACTCATCTTCTAGCATCTTCTCGCCTGTATCTTTTAGAATGCTTTCTATCCACATAGCGATCTGAAAATCAACAAGTCCATGTGTTCACCGTCAAGTTAATTGTTATGGATCAAGTAATTTTATTTACCTTAGCAGCCATCTCGAGTTGTATAGTATCATTGTCGCATGTAAATTCTATCGTACTTATTTGACGATTTTTTAACACCTTTGAAATTTCACTTGAGACTACGTTGACTAAATTTACCATTCTGAAAAAAATCAATTTATATTTTGTCAAATTTTAACATTTCGACCGATTTAATACATGATTTGCCATTTCTGTTTGTCCACCTATAAGTAGATGCGGCAAGGAACGGCATAGCAATATGGAGTTATTTCTACGCCGGAACTAGTAAGTAGGTATTAGCTAACATTTTGAAAGAAGTGCTCTCCGATTGCTCGAAATTTACAAGTCTTGTTATATGAGTAAGTAAACAATGGTAACATTTTTTTATTATACCAAGTGACGGGAGGAACAAGTAGTGCGCCTGGTGATACTCTACCACCAGGCGCTGAGTGGTACTGCAACTGCCTATAACAATTGCAGTGCCACTCAGCGCTTTAAATTAGAAAGACCTGAGATATAAGTTGACAAGGCTCATGTGCCTGTAATTTCACCTGCTGGCCCTTAACTTTCAAAACCCGAAAACAGTAATGCTCACATTACTGCTTGGCGGCAGAAACAAGGAAAGTGGCAGTAGTACTTCCCTGGATGAATTCTTTCCTTTACACGCTCTATTGCTACTAAAACTACACTTGTAAATAAGTTAAAAGTACAAGCGTTTGTTTGTGAGCTACAAAATAATAAAATGAAAGTTTGAAATTGTCGTTCTTAGGAGGAGAATTCGAGAAAAAATTTTTTTTATATATATGTATGTATTTTAAATCAAATCGTCCACCTAAGCTAATGGTATCAATACATGTCCCGCCCCATGATCGTCGTTAATGTTTCAAGTGTTTAGTGCCACATCGGAGCTCGTAATTTGAAAAAATAACGAATTTTTGAAAGTGAATGTATGTATGCTATATTAGGGTAGGTACATTATCAAACGTACTGATTTGTTCGGGGGCGTTCGCGAAACAGACGAGTCCGGGCCGACGACGACACGGCGGCGACACGCGTGGCTGCGCGTATTCGGTTATGTATCGAGAGCTGTACCGTGCGCGCTCTCGCGTCGACCAGCGCCAGCGCAGCGGCGGCGGATCCGAATAAAGCTCAATTTATATTGCGGCAGAATGGAGTGGAAGCGAATTTTTGTAACATAGCGAACATACGAGTCAAAATCATCCGCGGAATTCTCGCGCATTTCGCGGAAGAATTTGGCTCGTTTCTAGTTTGTACGTTACACAACCATAAAGTTTATTGTGCTATGTTGCGAAAATTCGCTTTCACTCCGTCATGCCGCAATTTAAATTAAGCCTAAGCCGCCACGGGCGAGCACAGACGTGCTCGAGCGACCCTCTTCCCGCAGTACGTTCGCGTAAAACGTGCGGTGCGGGCTGCGAAATGGGCCTCGGGCCGTGGAAAACCGCCTTTATCCGGAAATAAATTTTCAAGTCAATTTTGTTTTAAAAGTTTCTAATCTGAATCTTACACTAAAAATACTTTATTTCATAATTTCAAATATTAGAACCCCAATTTAATATATACACTAATACATTATTGATGTAATTGTGTAATTGATATTTTCTGAATTAGTACCTACCAAATAGGAAGGTTTCTCGATTGTATCTACGCGAATTGTTCGAAATTTCTAAGGATTTTTATTATGAAAAAGCTTATTATTTCATATTCTAATTTAGCACATATTATTAACTAAAGTTAATAGATCGTTCAAACCACTATCACTATATAAGAAAGTTTAATTTCTGCTTCGTATTGGTGTTAAAATTATTGTATGAAACTTATCTATTGGTACTTATGCTCGTAGTTCAGAGACGTTAGTTTTTAATAACGTCTTGTCTATAAAAATCACAGACATATGTCTGTGATAAAAATACATATTTTGCAAACGTGAAAAGCGGGATCCGAACGTGTTATTACATTACGTATAGAGTTACTAAATACAAGCGCTCTAGATAATTATATTGAGAAATAGTAATCACTAGAGCCTTGAATACTTTCATCCTTTCACTCGTAGCTTGTGAGCGTGTAGGGTTGTTCTTTGAGATACAGAAATCCCATGGGACTTGCAGAAGGTTTCCTTCCTTTCGTCATTCTCTTTGTCAGTACCTATTTTCTGTCTGTTATTGCTTTGTATTTCGTACTATATTTTTTTCTGTTTTATTTACTGTTAAATCTAATCGGTCGGTGGCAATGTTACCCCTGTAGTTTAGAAATATATTGGTAAGAAGTCCATAAGCTACATATGTAAGTATTTTCATACTCAGCTGCGATGACATTTAAAGTGTTTATAGGCTTCATTAACTTTTTAGCCATGTTGCGAGCAAATATAGCACATAAGTATTTTATTTCTTGATTACTTGCTTCTTCTTGGCGTTGCCTAAAACGAAAAACTTAAATTTGAGCATCGGTTTATACGTATATAATTTTGTCCAAGTCCAAACGGGCACAAGTGTATAGATTAACGTATTATTGCACGCTTACGACCGGGCGATGAAAGTAGTCTAAAACTCCACTTGACTGTTTGGATCTCACATTGTGGCGGGCGGCGCGGTGCGGAAGGCTGTACGAAGCGTCTCGCCCTGCCACCGCGTGATGTCAACATACGTTCTTGGACTACATTTATCTACAGCAGCGTGTAAATTCATACAAAATAAGACTTAAGCAGTACCATGAGACAGAAATGTCCTTTGTTAACTGCATAGCTTTTTGCGCAATACCACAAAGACACGTCTGCTTTTTTCTACCGTTAAGAAAACCCCATTTGTGATAGCGCCAAAGTTCCAAGGCACCGCCCGCGCTCTTACCATCTCTATCTATCTCGTTCGTCGTATCTATTGGGATACTCGGAATCGACAACACGAAAGAAGTCTAGTTCCGAAGTAATTTGGAGAGCAAATCCAAACAGGCTTCAAAAAAGTTCGCAGTGCTATAGAGCGAGGCGGTATTTCACATCGGGTCGACTTTTGTTGTAAAAAGCGCAGGTACCCCACATGGAGTATATAATAATCGTTTAATAATAAATTTGCTAGCATCTCTGGGCCAGAGCACCCAAAAATACACAAATACGCAGGTCGATTATCGGATCGGACGTGTATTAAGTGTTCAAACAAATACATGGTAACGAACGCCTTCCGATATTCGGATCAAACTATCGGATGGAATAATCGGACGTGAATTGCCGGTCTAAATAATGATTAATAAGCATTGACCAAAAAATGTTATTTTCTAATGCTATCATTGCTTATGCAAAGTTTTGTTATTAAACGTTCCATCTCGAATTTGGGTAGAATAACATAACTGAAATGTCGCTAGACAGAAGGCTTAAAAGTCGCTAGTCGTCGTTAAAATTATATTTCCACTCCATATGAAAATTCAACTGTTATAGCGCTCATTATAAGGTTCACTTCATTGGCAAGAACTTTATGGTCATAGCACAGATAAAAGGCCAGGTCCATGTCTTTCAAGTTAACTTTTGATTATAGTGCCCCTCTCTACCAACCTCTTCATTATACGGGAAGTTATAGTATAACCTGTGCAAGCAAACCCGCACAGGGACCTTAAAAGTTCAGGTCCTGAACCCAGATCAGCTCGTGGACAGGGTCGTCAGACAATTGTCACGGACTTCATCCGGTGCTCAAAATCAAAAGACTAGTGCCTTGGGTGAGCGACCCCGTGTGCACTATTGTACCCTCCCTACTTTCCAGATAGGTACCGGAGCTGTTGGCACGCTCACTTCCCGTTATGCATTGCACAACTAATAGTTATAGGAAATGAAACTATTTTTCCTTATTTAACTCGCGTACTTATATTTGTTTTTTCAAACAAACTAACGTTTCGGGCCCTTTGCAGGTCCCATGGTCACGGTTGACAACTAGTAGTTGCCACCTCTAAGCCGTTGAATCTAAATTCAACTACCAACACTTTGTCTCTGGTGATGGAGCTGTAGGTACTCTCACTTCGCGTGCGAAGGGTTTCTCCAGTTCCCATTATTCCTACGCGGCTGGATAGGCCGGAGGATATCTAGCGTATCTTTTGCTGTTATCCGGATTAGCACCTGAGATATCAGTCGCAGTGTCCTGCGACAGTGTCCGGACATAGTCTACAACTGAAAGTGAAATATAATCCTACCCTTTAGTAGAAAATATATGAGATAAGATGAAATCATATTAAATGTTAATAGACGAAACCCAACTAATTAAAAAGTCACAAAATTTTTCTTGTCGCTAAATAGAAACAAAATGTCGCTTTTGTTATCAAAATGTCGCTTAATTTAGCGACAAAGTCGCTAAGTTGGCCACACTGACAGCGAGTCGACTGTCGATCCGTCGATAAGGCGAAGTAGTCTGCCTAAGGCGGTCGTCGATCCTGTGTAAATATGCGATAACGAAATTAACAAAAATCGAACAAGGTAGTACCTATACGTTACTTAATTTAAGCACAGCTACACCTACACGGTCTCGTGCTTAATTTAGCTCTTATCTATTTAACCTAATAATTCTCAAACCTTCTCCGTTTTGGTGACATACTTCTTTTTCGTCGCTTGATTCGAAAAAAGTTAATTGCTTCATCGAGTTGTACTACTGGTTTTTGATCCATTATTCGCTGCTGCAATCTGTCTAACTGTAATGAATATTGTTTGTTTTTAACTGAACGAAACGTTTAACATTAACGAAATCGTAGATAAGGGCAAAAGGTAATGAATACCTACTGCTACTTACGAATAAAATCCGTGTAGTTTTAAGCGCGCTTTAGGGCCAGTGCAAAGTGGCCGTCGGAAATTCCTATAATTGCAATAAGATACAATACATTTCAACGCTCTGAAACCGACCTCGGATCTCGACCTCCGCGTTATTCACGAGCACGCAGAGCACGCTAGAAATTACCACAGTGGGAGGAGTATGTAACGGAATCCACAGGTTTGTGCCGGAATCCACCGGCATGCGCCACTGGAGTCTGCCTGAATGCGCTGGGAACTTTTCGACCGGGTGGTCTCTAGTGGAACGGAATCAAGTCTCTGCGGCGCGCTGGCGGGCGCTTTCGGTACCGTAAAGGATATCCCTCATCAAGGCATAAAACCCTCCTCTCCCGCCATTAGGTTCGCGCTGGCCCTTAACACCATCTACACACTAGTAAAATTTAAGTGTTCCATTATGGTAACGCTGGTAGAAGACACGCAAGGCTTATCACAATACAACTACAAAACAAGTACAAACATTCATACCATATAATCAGGTAATGTATCAGGCATATCTTTCCATGTGTTCAAGCAATGTCGTTTAGAGGGTTCTGCAAGCTCCGCTATCCTCAAAGGACACTTTTCTCTACAATTTCCACTACTATTCCTGTCATCACGTTTTTTCCTGGACTGTGACCGAGATCGTGACCTTTTGATACTAGATGATGGTCGTAAAAAAATTAGCGAAGGAGAATGACCCGAAGGTCGCGTTATTAACCCTGATGTTGCAGGTCTCTTGTTGGATGTGGCTTTTCTGTAAGTATGCAGAGTGTAATCGTCAAGTGTGCCCGTTAGGCGACTATTCCGTAAAAATAAAAGATATAAAAAACCTTTAAATTGATATCGAAAGTACGTTACCTAAGGAATAAAACGACATCAAGAACTTTTTAAAAATAAAACTCGAAATATCGAAAATTTTAATGTTGAACGCTTTCATACATTTAATATGACAATCGTAGAGAGTAAATATATAAGAGAAGGAACTTGTATATCTGCGTACTTCCTTCTGTGGGCGATAATGTCCACTTTACTGTTAGAATCAAATTTGTAATAAAGTTTCAACATCCTTTCAACCCCTTTTCTCCCTATTTGAAAATGCCATTTTTTCACAATCACAAGTACGTTTTTAAAGCAAATTTCAAACAGTAAATTGGCGGGAATAAAAAAGTCACGATTTGAATTTCGAATGAACTTTAAAATGTTTTTTTTAGTTGTACCTACTCGCATGTTGCTTTGCAGAACAGAACTGTTAAAAGATATGTATAATTTTATACAAAATGTAACAAAATGGCATTATCATTTCAGGTAGGCTTCAGAAAGTTCATATTTATAAAATCGCGAAAGAAAACTTTCCACAAACAAAATGTATGTCGGACCAATCGAAAACTACTCGAACTTAATTTATTTTTGCGCTAACTTAGTTTCTTTGCAAACGAATTACCTACCTAATTAAATTATTAGGTGGATCACAAGGGCCTCGTGCTTTTACGCTAACGATCCGTAATTTTTGTTGTTTTCTTGAAGTAATTACGTTCCTTGCTTTTTGCTCACGAAGCTCCGCGCCGCGAAGTACAGTTTGATGGACATCCACTCTAATCGAGTTCTTTGATAAAAAATCATTTTGTGACCCAGTAGGTTGAGTTAGAGGCTCTAATTCAACAGCCGTTTCAACAATTTCTGCAAATAGGAAATAAAACTTTTTTTAAGAGACCAGGTAACGGAACGCACAAGTCGCCCACCTAATGTAAGTGACACGCCTGTCCATGACAGTTGCAGTACCACTCAGTGCTTTAAATCACAAATATCTGAGGAACACTGAAACATAAGTTGATAAGTCCCATGTGCCTGTAATTTTACCAACACCCTTACCCTTCATAACCGGAACACAGTAATGCTGACATTACTGCTTGGCGGCAGAAACAAGGTGGCAGTACTTCCCTGGACGAACTCTTTCACAAGGAGCTCTACTGCTACGATATTTGTAAGTCGGCGGTAGTGGTAACATAGTTAGGGTATACACATGTCGTTTCATTTACCGGGACTGTGCGACATTCTAACTGCCTGTTACGCTATTTCACTTCATTTGAAGTTTGGCCCCATTGACATCTAATTTAGATAATTATAAAAGTAATAAATACATATGCGACAGAAATTTTAAAATGACATCTTATTATTGTTTGCCATTGTCTTGTCAGATTCACGTCAGTATGATTTTTTTCGATCTACTACGCCATGATATAATAAGATGAGAAACCTTCTTTGCCTTCAAAGAAGAACTATACTAAACAAAATAAGGAATGGAGCACAGATTCAGTACAAATCTTAGAGGATGGAAGCAAATCGTAGACGGAGATAATCTCAGTACAGAGTACTAAAAAAACCATCCTCAAAAGTACGTGGAATTACAATCTATTTGCCAAGTTGAGAAAGTGCGCAAACCCGGATTCATCCTCATTCGTCATTGACTGCCTCCGTGGCCGAACGGTTACCACGCCGTACTGCCACGCAGAGGTCCCAGGTTCGATTCCCGGGCTGGGAGAAATATGTGTATGGCCTACATTTATTTCTCTCGTGAGTTTGGGTGTAATTTGTG